AATACCCCTCCACACAATTACTATCAATAGAACAAAGTTGGTATGAGGAATGAAAGCAATCTGCCATCCTTGTTATTTAAATTGTCTCTCATTGTGTCAAGTAGAGGAACAGTTTTATTTAAAGAAGGCACTCTCCTTTAGTATCTAAGTACAGATCCATGAGGAAGCACAGATAAATATTTTTACAAATAAGGCTACTTACAGAAATATTTCTTAGAGAAAATTATTAACTGACTTAAGTTTAACCATCCTATAAAGATACAATGGTTTACAAACTACCTCCTTCAGCATCCAAATTCTATGTATTAAGCAGGCAAAGTCCACTGCTCCCATACCCACATTCAACCAAAACTTTGCCTTTTATCTGTTCAATCTATATATACAGAACAGGTGTTTCTGATAACTCTAAGAAAGGGATTTTTTACTGATACTGAGAAAATAGTTGGATATTTGCGATTCACAAAGTTATTAAGTCCAGTCCTTCAAAACATTCAAAAGTTCCAATTTTTTCCCCTTTGGTTGTAGGAAGAGTACTCTTCTTCTGGAATAAATAGGAGGAAACTGTTGTGTAACCTATGTCCTACCTATTTTATGCTTCAGTGTATATAACAAACACTAGTAATTCCAACCAGAAGACTACAACTAAGACTAATATTAGGCCACATCTTTATTCTCTGTCCTGACTTAATTCCTCTTTATTTAGCTACTCCTTCCCCCAAGTTATATGCTGAAATCTGACTGATTATAATTCCTACAGAAAAACAGTCCTTAAAATGGCACAGTAGAGCACAATAAAGAGAATGTCACCAAGAACAGACATGCTGTTTGTTCAAACTGTAGTCAGTAGAAAAATCTGCTAAATATTACATCAATCTCACTTTAAATTCGCCTAAAGCTAAAAAAACTTGTGAATAAAAATTAAGATGAAGCTCTGGGGAAGCTTAATTTTAATACAAGAACTAAAAGTAATGGAGAACTAGTTTAGAAACTACTGTAATACAACTCAATGGAAAATTATGTAATCAAGAACTACAAATACTACAAGGCAACAAAAGTTTCTATGAGTTGTAATTATTAATATGAATATGTAAGATATGTTCATAAAGAAAACAATATAGAACTAAAATCACAAGTGGGGATGAGAGTTTAAATTTTCTTCTTTAAACTTTTCCATAAATAAATTTTAAAAACTAAAATAAAATTTTCCAAAAAGGGAGCAGTACAGGCTAACAAAGAAATACTAAGAAAGAGAATGATAGAGACATAATATAGGAACCACACAAAGATTTTGCTTGTTCTGCTCCCCACCCTCTCTGGTGAAGCTTCTTACCACCCCTGCATCTATGGCCTATACCCCAGTTCTGTATGTATAAATAAATTAATCTTTTTAAAAAAAAAAAAAAGGAACTGAAATCCAGATAAACTTTTTGGGCTTTTTGTTTTTTTTGTTTTTTGTTTTTGTCAAAGAATTAACAGACAGACAAAAATACTGACAGGCACAAGAGTTAGGAAAAAGGAATATGAAGAGGTGACACAGCCTATTTAAGAAGGATAGAAATCCAGATATAGAAAAATGGAGATTAGAATTAGCATGAAAAGAGAAGAAACACAATGAAGACTGAAGAAAGCAGAATAAAAAGGTTTAGAAAAACAGAATAACAAAATGATGGAAATCAGACATTGAACTCATCCATCCTGGACCCCTAACCAAGTCTTTCATAGCTACACTACTGAAACACTTTATAATTCTTTTTCTCATCCTCACAACATCAATTCATCCCCCAAGAATGCCACCTCATACCTTCTTTAGGCTTATTTTCTTACTGCCCATCTACTGCCCAAAGCTCTCTGAAACCCAAAAAGCACTATGGAGTTTAGTGCCCCAGTTCTTCATTGAGGGTTTGGTTTTTACTGCCTTATCCGAAACAAAACCTGGATCCCACCGAATGGCACTGGGTTCCTTGTAACTCTCTCAAATAGAAACTGCTTTACTCCCTTCAAATATTCTAGGATCAAAGGCAACACTCACAAAATTTTCACAGTCTGACCTCAAAAAAACATCTCTCCAAACTCCTTTCTAAACTCCTAAAAGTTCTAACACCTTAGAGTTACACATACTTTCTATTTAACCTTGTCAATATCATCTATTTAGTGTCCCATCACTACTACCTATGATGTCATATATGTAACTGTCTACAGGGCATCTTTATTTACAAGTCTCACAGGCACCTCAAAGTATTATTAAGTTTTTATTCTCTCCCCTCAAGCTCCTCTAATATACAGACATAGGGATTACATCATACTGCTGTTATAAAGATCTACTACTTAGAGTATCATCACATTCAGAGAGAAATAATCTTTAAGGCTTTGTAAAAATTTTATAAGACATTTAATTCTAAACAGTTGCTTTGAGTTTAGTCATAACTATTTTTGGAGACTAAGAACTGATAAAAATCCTAAAGCTGGGCCCTCCCTGGTGGAGCAGCGGGTTAAAGCACTGCACTAAGAAGCTTAAGCCAATTCCACATGAGTTTGATCCCTGCCTGCCCCGGAGGAGATCCACATGGCATGGCAGACCTCTCCTGACCCACCCGCTGCTCCCCTCAGAAGTGTACTTCTTCAATCTGCCTATTCTGCTCCCCGCTCTGTTCCTGGTGAATCCTTTCACCCTCCGCATCTCTGGCCTGTACCCCAGCTCTGTATGAATAAAGAAATAAATCTTTAAAAAAAAAGAATACTAAAGCAGAATCCATCTTTACATATGGAAAGTTCTAACTTATTAGCTGGTCTCTCTTGAATGACAATTCAGAAGGAAGAGATCATGAATAAAGCAAGAAGAAATATTTTTGATGCAAGGTTCTATAACTGTGTATTTCTACACATTTTTAAAAAACTTTCTCTCTTTTTTGACATGAAAGGATCATAATTTCCAGTAATATGCTGCCACTTTACTTGGATATTTTTATAATAGAGCTATCAAAAATTAAGCAGTCATATTTCTTCACTTGTGAAAATTTACTATGCTCAACAGAAAATTCTGAGATAAATAAAATGTAAGACGCATGTTTAACTTTAATAGTAATAGACAGAGGTTAACTGATCTTCTGGATAACTTCCCTTAATGACTTCTTAACTGCTCTTTATAAGACCATTTAAGACAAATAAGCAGCTCTGAACAGTAGCATGGATGATATCTTCCTCTAGGATAATATACAGGCAACAGTTCATATTCTGTCACTACTGAAGCACAATTAAGTGAAGGTGAGGCCAGACTTGTGATGGTTATTTCCACCATAACTAAACAGGTTAATCCTTTAGGTGATGCCACAATGAGAGTCTATAGTCAAAAGGTTGCTCTTCATTTTGAGTTAAGTGAGTTATTATATGTAAACCACCACAACAGTGCCTGGTATAAAGGGGATACTATACAAATTTTTTAAATGAAGAGAAATATCTAGGAGCTCTGTAAAAAAGCCTTTTCAAAGAAATCAATTTACAATCCAGGGGTTCACGGAATAAATTAATTTTGACCTTTAGTTCCCTCCTTTGGGTATGTGTATTATCTATTGTTTAAAAAAAACCAGGTGGATTCAAAATTTCATTATAAAAGTACTGTGAACATAAGACATCCATAATTTCACTTGGGAAGTGAAAGGAAAAACTAAAAGACATGTTAAAACAGGTAAGAGATTAAAGACAATTAACAGGCTACTTGTTAGGCTTAAAAATAAAAAATAAAGCACAATAAGCCACGTAATTGTCTTTAGAAAGAAAACAATGCAAATAATTATGTGGATTTAGAATTCCTAACACAAACAAAACCATCACTTAAACTTATACACACACAAATACATACTCTTGAGAAACAATTTGCTAATTATGGTTGCTAAAATACTAGCAACTATATAAATATTTATCTACAGACATGTGTATCACAATCCTAGCTATTTTAATACATGAGTAACTCCCCATGTAACATGTTCGTCATGAAAAGTAAGAATTGCTAAGGAAATAATTTACACAAACTTTATTGGGAATTATTAAACAGTGGTACACTGGAAAAGTTATGTGAAATAAGAGTGCTGGGCTAGAAATCAAGAGGTATAAGGTATCTAAGGATTATAGATATTATTGCATGAAGTCTGAGATCTAAATGTCTAATGATCCAAATTCATGTTCACTTAGCAAGAAAAAAAAATTAATGTCTGGTATTGGGCCTACCTGTTTACCCCAAACCAATGAAGGAAAAACATAAGGAAAGGAAGAGTTAACAAAATAAAAATAAATTTAAAAAAGGGGGTGTGTGGTGGTAAACAGAAGAAACTGGAAACTGATTTTTCTATCCTTCTAATTCCAGTTAGTACAACATTAGCTACTGTGTTCCCTGAAGAGAAAGATGAGGGTGCGAAGGCTAGGATAGTTGGGAGGTGAAGATTCACAGTAGTCTTTCATTACTATTTGCTTTCATAGAATTAAATGTGAACAAATTTTGACCACTGATAACAAACTCTTGAAATATATTTTTTCCAACTATTTGCCTAGACAAAGACTGTTAAATTTGTTTCCCAGTATTTGTTTCATTCTGAGCCCACCAAAGACTTACTGATCACCTTTCCTTTCTAATACTCCCACATAGCAAAATGATATTATTTCCTCCTCTCCAAAAAATTGATGAACTATATATATATATCATGAAGCTCCAGTAGTATATATGAAACACAGAAAGTTTAAACAAATATATAAGTATGCTGTGGAACTGAAAATAAGTTTTTTAAATGAAAATTCTTAAAATCCATTCCCTTTATCATCTCATAAATATCTTCCAGATTTAAGTAAGGATATTCAAGGATCCTATCTTGAGCTCAATCTGTAAGGTCTTACTTTTAGAACTCTTCCATTGAACTACCACAATGCTTTCAGGGGCAGGGAGCAGCAGCAGGAAGTGTCTAATTTATTTAAGTTTATCACAATATTCAATACACACTTTGTGTAAGACCTACCTTCTCACCACTTGAGTAGAAGAAGTAGCGCAATCGGACTATGTTACAGTGATCTAACTTTCTCATGATTTGAAGTTCACGATTCTGAAAAGGAAGACATGAAAATAAGTATTTTAAAGTTTAATTGCTTTCCATCATACTAAGCTGCTTAGAAAATAATATTAAATACTACAAACAGCAGGCCACAGATACATTACAAAAAACTACGGTCTTTAATAGTTAACATGCAAACTATGTATTGCTAGTCCATGACCAATTTGTTACTACTTTGCAGTAAGCAGAGAAATTGAAAGCCAAGTGTTCAAAATCTTTTATAGCAATTCAACAAAGTAATTTTAAATCTATGAATTTTGTAATAAGTAGGACCTACATTTTGTGGTGTTTAATTTTACTTTTCCAGTGATACATGGCACATTTTCCAATATCTGTACCACATTTTATGAAAATACCAGTCTTTAATTAATTGGAAATTTTTAAAGCCAGTATTTCAACACAAGTAGTGGAGCACTGATCTAGATTATCTAAGAGATATCTGAAATGAACTGCCACTAGTGTCACTTTTTTGTAACTTATATTTTAAAAAAAATCAAACTTCTCATCAAGTAAATTTGGACACAAAGAAAACTCTTACAAATCCTATTATTTCCCAAAATACAGTGAAAATTACAAGTTAGCCTATTAAAAAGGTTCAAATGCTAAGTTTTAGAGAATTAAAATAAGGCATTTTAGAAATTGAACATTCAAACAAGTTTATATATAATTTTTTCTTTGGAGAGTTTCAAAGTTATGATCATCACTTATGAAAAGAAAACATTAAATAATAGACTTCCTAACCCCATAAATTTTGCAGTAGTATATTTGAAGACAAAGCACATAAATTTCAACAATATGCTTGACTGTCAGAAATATGGTTAATAAAGGCTAGGTTATGTAACACAGAGAAAGGATACTCAAATACCAATTATGTGGCTAAGAAAATACAAAATTTTAGTTATGAATAATATTTAGAAGGACAATAAAATGAAGTATATATGGATAGGTGGAATTACTATATACATGGAAAATGTACAGCAGAAAAAAACTAATAAGGAAAACTCCTAAAGCAGAATTAGTTATAATTCTCACAACATGGAAAATTCCAATAGATTTTAATGATTATTCTAGCATGTCTTCTCAGGTAAACTAAAATACTCAAGAAGACTCTCCTATCCCTTTAAACTGACAGAGCTAGGCTTATCTATATAGTAGTAATAACAATTCTTGGGGCCTCCCAGGTGCTGCAGGGGTTAAAGTCCCTGTCCTATCAAGCTACTGCCAGTCATTATGCCATGAATTTGACCCCAGCCTGGGAGCTGATCCACATGGCACAGCAGACCTCTCCTGTCTCACTCACTGTTTCCCTCAGCAATGTATTTCAGTAGATCTTCCTGTTTTGTTCCCCACTCTGTCTCTGGTAAATCCTCTCAATCCCCTGCAACCACACTACACCTATGGCCTACACCCCAGCTCTTCCAAGCATAAATAAATAAAAAAATAACGCTTTAAGAAAATAATTCTTTTATTAAAAAAATCAAACTTTCCAGGCCCTTCCTGGTGGCGCAGCAGGTAAAGCACAGCACTAAGAAGCTAAAGCCACTTCAGCATTGAGTTTGATCTCTGCCCGGGAGGTGATCCACAGGGCTGGCAGGCTTCTCCAGACCTGCCCACTGCTCTCTCAGCAGTGTACTTAGTCAGTCGGCCTGTTCTACTCCCTACTGTCTTACTGCACCTCTGGCCTGTACCCAGTTCAGTATGCAGAAATAAATAAATCTTTTTTTAAAAAATCAATCTTTCCACTGTATGGTTAAATATGTTTACAGCTAAAGCAATAAACAGAAACTAAGGAAATACAACATAATTCATTTAACAAAGATAATACCTGATGGCAGGCTCTAATTTTGGCCACTGCAAAGAAAGACAGAAAACACCATTTCCAAAAATGTGTCCATTCCAAACTGAAACTATTTCTGAAAATACATTTATACCATGCTAATCCACATCTAAGGAGTTAGTTTTATGGGAGAAATGTTAATATACTAAGATTCATATTTCTTTGAATATAGATTCAATTCTTCTACACTCATGTAATCAAGGTTATAAGGAAGTATTAAATTCCCAAGATTATGCAGCTGTATTAGATTATGCATTGCTATCTTATCAAGAAGAAGCAAAAGTGAAGCACCTATGTAAACCTAAGCATTCACCGACTCTCACCCTTCAGTTGACAGTATATATTCTTTTTAAAAGAGGCTTAAATTTTCTATTTTTAAAATTCTCTGTAAGATACAAAATATAAGTATCATAGAGCAATTTTAGAGGTATAAGGCAAAGTTCATGCCTGAAACACATTTAACAACTACCCCAAACCTACCCAGTTTTACTCAGTCTTTTCTTATTAGTTCACCCATAGCATACTGGTTCTATAAAAAGAACACCTATCCTGCACCAAGCATCATTCACAGTGTTACGGATATGGCAGTGAAGGATATGTCCTATGAAAGACAGGGAGAAATGCAATGTATTTTCATATGAAGAATAAGAACGAGAGAGAAAAGGTTGTTTTAAATAAAGTTAAAGTAGACCTCACAAACACACACACAAACAAAAAAGCTAAGCATATCATGTAATTTCAACATACAGAGTGAAAGCAAAGTAAAAAGAGACAAGTTCAGAGTGGTCAGTAACAATAATGTTATATAAACCCTTATTAATGACGTTAACTGAATTTTACTCTAAACATAAAGGAAAGTCAATGGAGGTTTTGACCAGGAAGATGGCAAAGTCTTATGTACCTTTCTAAAAGATCATCCTTAGAAACTGAAGAGAATGATATGAGGCCAAAAGTTCATCAAGGGTTGTGTTTTTTTAGGGTTCCCTATATGACATCCATTAACACATAAGGTAGAAGCTAAGGCTGGAAACACACATCTTAGAGGTAAGACTTTGGCTATAAAGGAATGAAGAGATCAGCAAATTCTCACAAAACACCTATAAAAATGGACTATACTATAGAAAAAAATCTAGGCAATTTTTAAGGTGGTAGGGGAAAGTAGCATATTTGGCAAAAAGACCATTGTCCTATTTATAATATCTGCAAATTTTATTGAATAACTGCATCTTGACTTTCCTTCCAAGATTGGTAATCAATTGAAGAAAAGTCAAGATGCAGTTATTCAATAAAATCTGCAGATATTATAAATAGGACAGTGGTCTTCTTTGCCCAATATGCTACTTTCCCCTACCACCTTAAAAATTGCCTAGATTTTTTTTTTTAAGATGTATTTATTTATACATACATGGCTGGGCTACAGGCCAGAGGGGCAGGGTGGTAAGAGGATTCACCAGACACAGAGTGGAGAGCAGAACAGGCTGACTGGCGAAGTACACTGCTTAGGGGAGCAGCGGCTGAGACAGGAGAGTTCTGTTGCACCACATGGGTCACTCACTTCCAGGGCAGGGATCAAACTCATGCTGAAGTGGCGTTAGCTTCTTAGTGCTGTGCTTTCACCTATTACTCCACCAGGAAGGGCCTGCCTAGATTTTTAATGTATTCCTGAGCCATACAAGATCATCAAAAAGTAATAAAAGCATTAGAAATTCAAGATGTTTGAATACAATCTCTAACCAGTAGCTGGCTGGCCACTAAGCTACACAGACAAAAGAATTACCCCCAAAAAACCAGGGAAACTGAGAAAAATCAGAATTAAAAATTTTTAATTGCATTCAAACCAGGGTGTCAGACTGTGGTTAAGTGTACAGATTTGATCTAGGTAAACTACAAAAAGCCAACCACCTTCAGGTGGTTAAAGTAGACCTCACAAAGGAGGTAAGGTCTGAACACAAGCTTGGAAACTTATTAAGGATAAAGAGGACGAACACAGCAGTTATTTATTAAAAAAAAAAAAAGAGCCTCCAAATGAAAAGGCCCAAAGGTAGACTGGCATAACACAACAAACACACAAACAAACTAAAAAGCTAAACATATCATGTAATTTCAACATACAGAATGAAAACTCAACAGTCTAAGACCTCCTGTAGGATAAACATCACATATACTAACATAAATAAAGGTAATGCTAGAAAATAAGGAAAAAGAAAAAGGAATTTAAAAAGGCTAAATAGATCATTGCTAACAACTTTCAAAATATAATGAAAAACACTATAAAACATACAGATAAATGAATATCAAGTTTAGTGAACCTAAAATAGGATAAATACAAAAAAATCTACACCTCAGGACATCACTTTCTAAGTTGATGAAGTTTAAGGGGATTATGCCAAGCAAAATAAATCAGAAGGACAAAGACAACGAACATATAAAGCTAAACCAATGCAAGCCCTAGAAATCTGATTTAGGAATTGAGGATATGAGAATGGGAGGGTGATGGGGGGATCAAAAGGAAGGGTCTTTATGAAGCATGGTGAGGATTATGTGTACTTTAGTAGTGGTCTTGGTATAGCAACATACATCTGATGAACTATCAATCTATTTCCCCTAAATCTTATACAGTGCTGTAAACCAATGTTACTCAGTTTAAAAAAAAGAAAAAAAGGATGCTGATGGAGAATATTCCAAATAAAGACCTCTCTTTAGATGTACACAAGTAAATCTCTCAGGCTGAAAGAACAGGTCTAGAATGTAATTCAAATTCATTGAAGAAACAAAGAGCACCAGAAATGATGGGTACAGATGGAAAATACTAGACGCACACATTTTTCTTCTCTTAATTTCATCAAAGACAAATTGAATAAAGAAATAATAATATTAGTAAGTTTACAATATAGTTGCAATATATATGACAAAAATACCATGAAGGACTAAAGAGAAATTTAAGCTATGCTGAAGAAAATGTAACCTCTTTAACTAGAATTATGTCAGTATTAACTGAAACCAACTGTGAAAAATTGAAATGCAGGCTGCAATTCCTAAAACAATCACCAAAAAAGTAACATTTTTGTTAAAAATCTACACTGAACATGAAATAGCGTGCACGCTAAAAGGATTTGTTTAACACAAAGAAAAGCAGTAAATGAGAATAAAAATG